CCGCGGGGGCGACACCCCGACTTCTGCGCGTCCGGACGCCCCTAAAACGATGCGCAGGACGTTTTCGCGCACCTGGGACGACGGCCAAGCCGGTGAACGGCGGTGCAGGCTTCCTCGCAGGGGCACAGGTGCCCAGGAGCCCTGTGGCCTGGCCGAGGCTCCGCAGGTTCGGCCAAGGTCGTGCGTGTTTTGGGGCCGGCCGAAACCCGACCTCACATTAAAAAAAAGGAAAACCGAGTTCCCCCAGAGTGTTCACAGGGCTCGAAAGCCGGGCTTCGCAGCCTTCGTTCCTCCGAACGCCCACGGGTGCCGGGTGCTGGGCGCTGGAACCTTCGGCAGGGCCCACAGACCCCAGCGACTCGGAACGACTCAGCAAGCGAAGCCCAGCTGTTTGGACTCGGACAGTCACTGCCACGGGTGCACAGACATGCTGCCACAGGTGAAGGACCCCAGTTGGGTTTCAGCACCGCTTTTGGGCGCGCGTCGATGCTCCATGTCGCCGTCCTTTGACACCCAAAAGAGTTAGTAAGAGTCTTAATGAATAACCCCCCCAAACCATGGGCGGTGAAACCATGTAACATATTTAAAACCACGTTTATCGCCTCTTCATGTGGGGGTAATGGTTTTTCTCAAGATGCTACCAAAAAACAAGCATGGATCACCGTCACCCAGATTTATGCCCCAGGTCCGAGGCTCAACCCATCTGTGTCGGGGAGGCTTTGAAAGTCGAGCCTGCAGCCTGGAGCTGTAGACTCTTGAGGACCATACACCCCGCCCCCTTGAATGGAAAATCTTCTTCATCTGGGGGGTGTATGGTCCTCAAGAGTCTACATTAAAACTTGAAGAAACAAGGACGCGGAAGGCTTCCTCCATCCTCGGCTTTCGCTCGCCCCCGCCCCGCCGTCGACCGGTGACCGTGCGCGTTTCCGGCGCGCGCTGTCAAGCGAACGTGCGTGTCTTCCCGGTTTGGTGACAGCTTCATGAGAGAATCCAAAGCTCATGCTCCAGGGACCCCAGGGAGCACGGCAAAAGCTACATCTGGAGTAGTCTGGACCAATGTGGGCATCCACGGCTGGATAAACGCAGGTGTTGGGGGCAACAAAACCTCCACTGACATGCTGCAAAACCAAGACTTCTGCACCGCAACCGCTCTTCTTCACGCGCATGACACCGGAACCGAAGCCTCACGGCCCAAGCAGGCTCAAGACTGGACATGGCCTGGCATAGTTCGGCCCTTTGATGTGCTTTCATTTAGCCAAAGGCTGAAGGGCTGGACCCAAACAGTGAAACGGTCTATACAAACTGAATCGTAAACAGTAAGGGAACAATGCCTTTCCGTCAAGGAACATACTCGTCATTTGGTCGGAGTGCGCGACGAGCGCGAGTTCGTCGCGGCGGAGAACCAAAACCCCGCGTGGCCGATGAAAGCAACGGTCGCACCTCCAATGCACCGGTGCTGGATGACGCAGAGTCTACAAGGGAGGTCGCTTTGGAAACACTTGGCTTTGGCTGGAGACATGGCAGATGACTGACATCGGCACACAAATCATGATCATGACTGACATCGGTTGTAGCATGGATGTGACTTGGAGATGCTGCATTCATTTTTCCGCATCCTGGTATGACATCTTTGAGCCCAGGCTGGGCAGGTCGGCGGCGACGAACACCAGCTTCATGCTCGCTGAGCTTCCGGAAGAAAGCGTGAAAACACCCGTCACCTCGATTTGGGGATTGATGGCCATGGTCCACCGATTTAAGGGTTCTTGACCGACACAACTTTTGTCTCACTTAAGGCTTATAAGGCTTAAGGGTGTTTAGATGTTTTTAGACTGCAAAGCCCGGCGAGTTTAAAGAATCTTGGAAGGGTGGGGGTTTGCCGGAAAAAAAAGCAGGGTCGCGGGTTTGCCGGAGCGTGTCTTTGGTCGGTGAATCCGGAAGCATGTGCGGTTTTCCGGGTCTTTGGACCCTCCAATCCTCCAATCCTCCAGGATGGTCCAGTCTGATGGTTTGGGGTCGACCCGTCGACCCAGCTGTCGACCCGTCGGTCGACCCGTCGGTCGACCCGTCGGTCGACTGACACGGCACCGCCACGGGCCGGTCAAAACCGCTGAGCGACCCTACGGCCGGCGACGCCCTCGCGGAGCGCCTTCAGCTTCCGCCGTCCCTGGCGGACGGAAGCTGGGTGGAAGGCGGCAGCGGCGCCGGCAGCAGACGGACGCTGAGGAGGTCCGGAAGCACCCAAGGATTGCTGCCAAAGTCAAGTCATGAAGCGGCTGGATTGGAGGATGGATTGACTGTTTGGATTGGGTCTACAGGTTATCACCACGAACTACTAACAGGTTTTGAAGGAGAACATCGAAAGGGAATTTCATTACCAGTCCTGGCAGGTCAAACAACGGTGCAACTGTACTGTGATGTTTTGGCTTTAGACCAGGTATGACGGTATCACATACCCAACCCGTGCGCGTTACGCACCATTGTGCTTACTTGGACGTCGGGTCGCTCCCCAAAACCCGTTTTCGCTCCGTGAAAGGTCGCAGACCTGGAACGCGAAGCTCTTTTCCAATCCCCGGGCCCCCAGACCATCCATAAGACTGAAAAGAGTTACAGTAGATGGATTCTTCTGTCGCGTCTTTTTCTTTCTGGGTGAATGTATGGTTTCATGTGTCTCTATTCCAGTCCTCTGGATGGTTGGAAGATATCAGGTCAGTGGACCTCGACTTGATTGGGCTCGTTCGCCGTTTTGGGGAGCGGCTCGCGGCTCGTTCGCGGAACGAGCGCCGTGTTCTTGGAGGAACCTGTTTCCAAACTGGTGGGAGGGCACCTGTTTGGGGGGGATGAGGCCTTCAACTTTGCTTCCAAACCAGCACACCAAGCTGGGCATCCGGTCATCCGATGCTGCGCTCAGAGAGAGCAGTTCAGAATGCCCCTCATGGGACTCAGAAGGCCCGTCTGAAGAAGCACGCCATCTAGCCAACTGTGGTGCAAATGGATCAGCTGGAAACTGATCCCCGATGTCTTTAGAAAAAAGAAAACATCCACACCTGGTGAATGAGTCTGATCCTTTTTCAAAAACACACCATCCACACCTTCAGAATGAGTCTGACCTGCACACATAGACCTGGGCGCCGGACCACGCTGCAAGTCTTTCTCCTGACCCGCTGCGACCACTCTGTGATGCTCCCGAGAGCGTCCGGCCGCACCTTCCTGTGCCCTGCCAAAGATTGCCGCACTGGTACGGTCATGTGTCGATTGCGGTGCCGCACTGCTCCGGTTGATGCAACAGGGATGGATTCTGTTTGCACTGGGATCACCCCTGAAACTGAGATCACCGCACTGGGTGTGCGTGTGCATCGACTGACTGGTCACTTGTCAGTGAGGCACTGGAATCTGTCGAAGAGTCCAGTTTTGCTTGGTGGCAAGGCACGTGATCCTGTTTCTTCAAACAGTTGCCAGAGTGAAAAGGCTTCTGACCCACAAGAGCTTTTGGGTCAGAAGTAGCTTCAACTGTCCATGATGAGTGTGATGGCACAATTGATTATGTTACCTCCCAATGTCCAAGAACCTTGGGTGTCTTCGCCGTGGAAATACGCGTTTGTTGATCAAAATGAAAACGCAATGTGTGGCGTATTCAGTTTGCTTATGAAAACCGTTGCTTGCAGACCCGAGTGAAGGTGTGACACTCCCTGATCATGATATCCAAACAGTCAGCACTTCCGGCAAGAGTCTTGCAGTGTTGCATCTTAGCTAAACTAAACCTTTTGGGCCTTGAATCTTCAGAATAAACAATTGAGATGAAGAAACAGAACTATCGGGATAACTGGAGATGACTGGAGTAATCTGGTGAAACCCAGCTTTTCAGCGTGAACTAGTCAGCTGAAACATTGGTATAGCCCGGTAGCATCAAGAAGAAACACTTAATTAAGTCACTTAGATGGTAGAACACTCCGTGCAACCACATGGTTTGAGGGAAACCTGTCTGTCACATCCAGATGTGCCATGGCACTACTGACTGCAAAAGAATGGAGTCGTCGACCCTATGGTTGTCCCGAATCCGACTTTCCATCCGCACGGGTGTGGATGTTGTGACTTTGTCCCAATCCTGGCCATCTCTCACCAAACCTCGCCCATAGCGGGCACACTCACGGCGACATGCATGCGATGGCGATCCAACGGGAATTCATGGGCCTTCGACCCATGTGTTCCGTCGATACACCTGGAGAGAGGAGCCACCACTGTCTGGGTGGGACACGTGGCGAAACACGCGTGGCACGATTCGTGCGGATGACACATGGTGCAGATGGTGGTACACTTCGATTCGTGCGTACTACGTACCCCCTGCTTCGAGATTCCTTTAGTGGAGCAAATAAAAGACTGGGTAGCGTGAAAAGCTTGGATCTGATGAATTTCTTTCCTGAAGTTCTGGCTTTCGGGGCGATCATGTTTGAGCTCAAACTGACCATTGTAGCAACCCAAAGGTCGGTGCTTTGCAGAGTTTAGGTACAGTCTAGGTCAAAAGCTGTGGCTCCAGTCGCCCACAGTCAAGTATCCACCACTTCTGGCTCCAACATTCCTCCAGAATAGATTGAAAAGTCAATCCTCTTTGAACATTGGCAGTAGTATGGCTGATTTCGTTTCAAAGGTGGACCTCTGCTCTCTGCCGTCTCCTGGTCACCCACTTGCCACATTCACCGCAGTCGGTCCCAACAACCGACGAAGCGGGAAACAACTGGGCGATCCGCTTTTTCCGGCGAGCTCGACCCCGTGGTGCGCGGATCATAGAAATGAATTGGAGAAGAAGTTCACCGCACCTAGAAAAACACTGGAGTTTCACAGAGACATGGATGTGAGAAACATTGGTGAAACACTTGTTGTGGAGACTCTGAAGTCGCTGAGGTTTGTCCAGGTCCAGATTGCTGAGGTTTGTCTCACAAATTACTCACCCTCGCCGATCCAGCTCTTAGCTGCAGGTTGCTTCCTCCATGTGGATCTGTGTTGATAGCATTCCAAGTCACTCCATGTCTATGATCCAAAAGTCTCGCAATCAAAAGCTGCGAGGGTCAAAAGGAAAATCCGAGGAACTCGATGTGGAAGAGTCGAATGTGCTTTCATTCCGCCCCGCCATTTCCCTCAATATTCATGGGAAGGAAACATGAACAAACCAACCATCCACGCAAACTCCGTGCCCTTTCAAGTGGTTTGTTAAAGTGTCAGCAACTGCTTCAATTTACACAAGCATCTAGGGCACAGAGTGCCATACACGTGGGAAAAAAATAGACTCCCAGTCCCAGCGTCAAACACACCCCAAAGTGCACCAGGCAGCAAACTCCAAAATGCAACCGTGGTCATGCAAAGCATACCCTTGGTAAAAGGAAACCCTCTTCAGGGCATTTCAGCTCCATGTGACCATTCTAAAGTATTCTTAAGTGGTGTCTCCATGTGACCCCCTCTCACTACTTTTCCACCACCTGTGCCATGTCTCCATTGACCATCCTAGTTAGGGGGAAGTTGAAACCTTTGGGAAAGAAGCTTGGGGAATTGTTGATTCACCCAATTCTAACAACCCGGCTTCATTATTTCTCTGAACCTATCTTATCGCAACAGGAAGTACAAGGGTCAGGGAGATTGCTGGGGCTTGGACAAACAGCTGTCCTGCCTGGCTTAGACAGACCGTGAAATCCAACTTCCCCGTGTTGTGACCCTGAGCCCTCAACTTTCAACTCAGAAGTGTGCTTTTGGATTTCATATGATTTGATGCTTTGATCTTTTGCGCCTATACAACCAAGCAGCAAATCTGGACCTTCACATCGAATCGAGGCTTGTCTTCATGTTGCCCGAATTCTTGGCACCTGACGCGGCGAGAAAGAGACGGGTTTTCGCAAACACAAAGCCATGGGGCATCTGCAAGTCTGTGACAAAGGAAGGTTGAATCAAGTTGAATCCACCAAAAAGGGTGTGTCCCTAAATTTGGGCCAGATCTGCAGATCTGCCCTCTGATCTTTGTGTTCAACACATGTTCAACACATGCTGATGACAACAGACCTCCACCGAACCTGCCTTCGCACTGGGAGGATTTACCCAGCTCACACTTGCCTCGCTCGCAGAGCATGCAGGGAGGCGCCCTACCCCTAAAATGATCTAAAATGTCATTTTTTCTGATCTTGTTGACTTTCCCTCTTCATGGGCACGGTTATTGCGAGTTTCAACAACAGAAGTCTATCAAACTGAAAATAGAAAGTTGAGTTTGACCCTCGGCAACTTTGGCCTTCCCAAGCTACTGGATCGATTCTCACACAAAATAGTTCTTTCCTCATCCTTCCCACTTGACCAGACTAATGCACTTGCCAGACTATGTTGGAGCGCCTGGTCAAGAGAAGCTTGGGGATCTTGGATTTGCTGTCCAGGAACTGAAAAGACTTCATATATCTTCCCCAGAAAGAGGATGCATCCATGCTAAAAATGAACCTCACCTGATTCGCAACACCTGGAAATTCAGCGAAAAAAGCACTTCGTTCGGTCTCCCGAAGACTTTGGTCTCCGAACACCACACCAAAAACAACCGCCGTGTTTTCTGATCCGCTCCGATGAGAACTTCCGCTGCTCTGGGAGGAGTTGCGACATCAATCACAACATCCTCTCCAACATTTACACTATCCGGGGAGTACTTGGCACCATGGGCATTCTTGTTTACAGAAACAGTACATCATTCCTGTATGGCAGACACCTAGGTCTAAAGTCTAAAGAAGAGCCATCAGTTCCGAGTATGAACAGATTCACTCGATGGGTCCAGCTCGCGGTGGCCGAGTTCAGTTCGGAGTCGACCAACCAGAGATCCAAGAGTTGGGGCTTGGCAGAATCGACCAGCTGGCCCCTCACTCACAGAGATTCACCCTTCAATCATATTCTATACCTAGCGCTTCCTGTCAAGGTGCCCTGTGTGGAGACCTGTAAGTAGTGTGGAGATATCCATTGGTGACCCCGAACGGAAGCAGCTGGTATAAGATTCTCTCCTTTACAGGTCCCTTTTTGAATTGCATCCAACTGATGGAAGAACACCGGCACCTTTTCTGGCAGCCACCGGCGCAAAAAAGGATGAATTCACTCAATCTCAGGCTGCTCAAACTCGATTCTGGAGTGAAAATGGATGTCATGGTGCTTCAACACCAACACTGGATGCTTCAGCTGCTCCAAGCTGCATGTACTTGGGGGGTCGCTTCTCGATATCCTCCGTCGATCCTCAGGTCTGGAAAAGACGTCTGGGGAATCGTCTGGGGATGGCGCAGTCTCGAAAAAACCAAGGCAGTTGAAACTGACAGGTTCCTACATCAACACGAAGTTGGAACTTCCCCAGTCTTTTCAAATCTCTTGATGTTGCCATCTCGAAAATCGCAAATCTGTCTTCCTGGCGAAGTTCTTGACTTCTCCCCTGTTGGGGGGGTCCCTTGAGGGATTCAGACGTCCAAGACCATGTTTGAGGTTCCTCGCTTCCGGCTCCGGGAAGAATAGTCGACCTCCAAACGAGAACAAATACGCACCCAACATCTTCTGTCAAACAGAACGACATGTCACTCATCATCGAGTTCAGAACGTTTTTTAGACTTTCCAGAGCTCTACCCACCAAGGCTTACCCACCGAGAGAACCGACGACGAAAAAGAGCTGCTGATGCTGCAGTTTCCTCCGATCCTACGATGACAGTCTCCCTGCATCTTTTCGTCCACCGGCCCGGGTTGCGGCCATGCCAAATGCCCCCCACTGTGCAGCCGAAGGTGCCAAAGATAGCCTCGGTGCAGTGGACTCCGGTGTCTTTCCATGGGAAGTCCAGTTGTTTTAATCCAAAAAGACAGAAAGGACGTGCTGAACTCGGCGGTTTCAACTCACGAACGGATAGTATGTCGGTGGAAACCATAATCATCTCAAGTAAGAAGTACTGAAGCTGCCACCTAGATTGACATGTGAGCCAAGGAAATCGCTTCTTCGTTGTACACGTCCCAAAACAAAATGGCTGGTAGAACGGTAGAACGTCTTCCAACGTGGCAAAAGCGTCGCTTCGAAGCTTCTGGTAGAAGCTGCTCCTTCGGCGCCAAGCTTGGGTCAAACGAAAGGAACAAAGACCATCCATGTATGGCCTATGTGCCTACATGAGGGTGGTGGATTTCAGGGGTAGGCATATGAGGTGGTTGATTTCAGTGACGGTGATGCTTTTTTTGCGATTGCATCGTATGACCGGACGTGAGTCCTTTATTGGTTCCACATGTGTTGAGATTCTTCTACTTCAATAATCATCAATCATATTCATGTACCAGGACCCCCAGTCGGGGTGGTTAATGGACACCCCTTAACAGCTAAGGGGCTATAAATAGACCCCACCGTGTCGGGTCCTGATATATTCACATGGTCAAGACTCGCGATCGCCTGAACCGCCAATGGATGCTCGTCATCCCTCCACACCCCGCGGCCCACGGGCGGCCCACGGATGGCAAGACGTGGGTCATGGCACCAGAAAAAAGAAACGTGACATACCAAACATGAACAGAAATGGAAGCGAATAGACATGAATAGACTACTTTACTAGACATGGTCAACCTACCAAAATGTTGACCCACAGCCATATATACCCATAATCCGCATCCTCCAAGGCACAAAAACTGCAGATGAAACCTCGGCAGGCTTTCACACAGCTGGCCATGACATCGTGGGTGAGATCCCGTTCGCAAAGATCCCGAAGGCAAGATCACGTCTGAAGGAGAGCCAAGGAACACTTGATTTGGGGCTGCAGGTTTCTTGTTCCCTGATTGGTGGTTCTTTTCCCTGAACACCCTACCCCTTAATATCCCTTAATTGGTTGCGGAAGAAGAAACAGAGATTCCGTGACCAAATCTGTTTCATCCCTCCACACTTTCCCAACCCGAAATGGCGAAGCGTCTCAACCACCTGCACCCCACCCAAGCTGGCTTCAACCCCATCGCTGGTCTCCGGCGGCCCGGTCTCCCGGTCTGCTGTCCGAAGCGCCACGAAGCACGCAGCGATGATGCCCCAGACCAAGGACCAAAGCCCCGTGGTCTCCAGCAACACCGCCACCAGCGCAGGCCCTGCGGCACCAGGCAAGGTGGCCTCCAAAACCAGACGTCTCCGGGCAAACGCAGGAAAATCCTTTTGGCAACATGACCAAATCCATCATCTTCCCATCTTCAAAGCTCCATCTACTGCCCAGTTCTTCATCTTTCGTCTCCATCCAGGTGTTCCAATCCAGGCTCCCCCGCCACACCATTGCCCAGGCTCACGAGCGCCACGGCATTTTGCGGCGCTAAATCCAGGTACACGGCGTTCATCGCCGTGTCCAAGACACCCATAAACCTCGGATCCGGATCATTCGAGTCGAGCCTTGGAGGTCGAACCTTCGACTGACTGTCGGCCCTCGGTCAGCCCCGGAGCGAACATGGCGACCGTCGCGACGGAAGAAGGTGCCAGGAGCCCCCTTTTTGGCTTCAAAGAATCCTGCCAAATGTGGACCAAAACAAAGAAGAAGCTTGAAGGGTCGAAGAACACTTTCGGATCCCTTTTGGTGTTCAAGTTTCGAATCTACTTGGTGGCCTTTCAAGCTTCCCCGCAGTGCCCACGGATGAACCGTGACGTTCACGTCCGACTGGGATGCCGGGCAATGCAGCTGTTATCATCGCAAGGCTTGCAAAAGGGATGCTGCGCAGGTTCCCAAACAAGACCTCGATCGATTTGGCGGTTGGTGATTTTGAGGACCCCAAAACAGCTGTTCATGGTGTGCATCCTTAAAAAGTCCTTGACCCACCTAGAGTCCTTAGTCCTTTGCAAGTTCCCTTAGTCCTCACCTAAAGCTGCAAAGCGGACCTCAGCCTACAGCCTTCATCACTGGGGTCGTTGGACTGCCAAGGTGTGGACTTCCGGGAAGATTCAGGGTGTGTGCTCCCAAAACCCCTAAAAAAGGACCTCCGTTGCCGCACTCTTGGTCTGAAAGAAGTCCTTTTACCTTATTATAATGTCCACGTCCACGCGTGTTCCATGAACCGCTCTGAGAGGCCAAGGCAAGGCCTGATGCCAAAGCAGCAGGGCAAAGGATCCTCTGCACGGCTGGTCGGAGGGTCCTTCGATCCGGGTTGAGGGATTTCTATCATTTGGAGGTCTGTTGTTCGCGACGCGAAGAAGTGTTCTTTCCCCCCCATGTTCTTTCCTGCCTCGTGTGTGGGGGGGGGGCTTTCCGCCATCCGGCCGGCTGACCTCCGGCGAACCCAACGGTACACGGGTCGGTCGGTCCCCCGTCGCATGGTCAGCAGCGGGCAGCGTCGGCTCTGCAGCCAATCGGTACAAAGGCCGCCCAAGATGGATCCAACACCTGCGGGGTTTTCAGGTGGGCCGCCCACTACTGTGGGCCGCGGCTTGAAGGAACGAAGAACAGTGGATAGGGTTACAGAGAAAGATGTGGGATGTGGTGGGATCTCTCTGAAAGGAGTGAGATCTAAGGATAAAGCTGCGATTTGGTGCTCGTGAAGATTCTGAACATGTTCCTGTACTTGAAGCAAAACTTTGCCCAAAGGGGGCGCAAGCTTTGAAAAACACCAAAAGTCTCCGTCCCACGCACCAAGAAAAGGAAGAGAGAGAGAGAGAGAAAAAAAAAAAAAAAACATCAAATGAGTCAATGAGATACAAAATACAAATAGTTAATCCATGTTAATCCAAATAGTAATCAACTACAGCCCAATCGATGACATGACTTCTCTCCATGTCCAAACTCCAACAACTTCGGAACAGCGGACGCACCTGAAAAAGCCGCCGGCAACATGAGGTAGAGCCCCACACTCTCCAAGGGCAGCTCCAGCACCTGGCGAGAACTTCTCAGGTGCTTTGGGAAGAAAGAGCTCTTCTGAACTTCTGGGTTTCAACAGTGTGTTTAATCGCAAGCTTGAGGTGCTGCTGGCACTCCCAAGAACCAATGGTGTGTGGATATTAAAATTCCTCTCACCCCAAGACTTATGTTCCAACATCAACTGTCTGCTGCTGGGAGGGTCATCTGTTGTCCTTTGCCACCCATTCCCCTCCTCTTGGGACAAACCCAAATATGACACACTGAAGACCTCCACACCTCGGTCAAAGTGTAGCTTTTGAGATGAGTCACCTTAATTCATTGGTTTAAAAATCCAAGATGAATTCACAAGGAGGTTGCCAACCGTTCTTGTATTCCACAGCTCATCGAAATGAAAGAACTGGTCAAAGATTGATTCGGAAACTAAAAGGTGATCTTCGGAAACTTTACGAAACTAATCTTCGGAAACTAAACGGCTGTCTTCCGAAACTTACGCTTTTCTTCGGATGTTTTTCTGTGGAAGCTAAGGTGATCTTGGGAAACTTTAAGTTTTTTTCGGAAACTAATCCTCGGAAACTTTACGGTTTCCTTCAGAAACTAATGTTCGGAAACTACGAAGAGCAACATCAAACCTATGTAGCCGTCTGTTCGAAAGAATTCGTCTGAGATCTCTTGCAGTTTAGTACATTTTACTGTGGTCCGTCCCTTCATGTGGAATGGGAAGGGTGTGAGAAGCTGTCAAAAAGATTGCGGGCCGCTGCTTTGGGGAAGAGTGACGAACATGTTTCTCTGCCAAGGCCATGGACACTATGGAGGCTGACGGTGCCACGTGGCCGAGCAGGCGACCGGTCTGACCATCCGGGTACCTCTGTGAAGTAGGACGGGCCCCAAGACCTCGGGAAGATCGGGGGTGAGTTGACAAGGAGTGGAGCGATGGCGTTGGGCGCTGGGTCCGAAAAAGCGAAATGGCGCTTCTTCCATGAGGTGGATCGGCCAGAAAAGCCCAGGCACGACCTGTCTGGGACTGACATATTGACCTCAGATTGACCCCTTTTCAATCAATCACCCCCAATGTGTAAGAGATAAGAGATAAATATGCCAGTCCCAGACGGCCTGTGTCAGGTCGATCTGGACTCAAGCTCCACGACCGACTGGAATTGAAGACTTGTTGAAAGCGCAGATGGGATGCAGAATAGAAAGAAGGACCTTCACGTCTTTTCACCTGCCTCTGTGGGCAAGAAGAAGAACCGGTGCCCCTCTCCCCTTTCCCCCACATTCCGGTGCAAGCGTTCTCATGCTCAAGCATGCCACAAGGACTACATAGAGGCTGCAAAACCCCAGGTTTCACACCGATTCCACATGTCTGTGGAAAGGCAAACGCCAGCCTGGACGTGTTGGGCTGGGCCGTGCTGGGCCCCCGAGCATGATGGTGTACATGGCAAAGTTGCTGCTACCTGGGACATCCGCTGGTCGCAGCACTCAGGTGCGTCTTGAAACATTGTGGCATTACGGTGAGACGGAGAATGTGGACTATCGGGTCCGACCAAGCAGTACATGTCATGACCAAGTTTAAGGGAAAATGCTTTTCTGAGTGCTTTTTGGGATGGTTGCTGGGCAGGAAATCTGAGCCTTTTTGTATTCTATCATTTTCTATCTACGTAGAGGACGAGGGCACCTCATGGTTTTCGCGTTGCAAAAACCAACAGCTCTGGAAGCCCCTCTGCCCAATCCCGGTGCCGCAAAGCTGCAATGTACCGCCAACAGCGCCAGGAAGCCAGGATGCTTTAGCCTGAGCTGAAGTTACATGTCAGATAAATCTTGAGCTTGCGGCCGTCAGGTCGCAAACCCCTCGACAGACTCTCTTCAAGGTCACTGTGGAACCCAAGCAGTGTCCCACTTCGCCCTGACCCCCCGGACTTGGCCCCAAATACGCGGCCGTGGCTCTGACCTTCCCAACCTCTGAGCGGACCAAAATCCGCCGAATTCTCTGCCGGGAGACGCCCAGAGTGGCAGAAAAGATCCACCGTGCTCGCCACCTTTGCTATTGGTGCCTGCCATCGGTGCCACCCACCGAATCGCTGGAAAAACGGCGTTCAACGGCTGCAGAGGAAAGAGTCGAAGAGTCGAAATCGGAGGGTGAGAGGAAGCCATTTGAAGCTTCGAGGAACTTCACTCGCAGATCTGAAGGCTTCTGAAGGTGCCCCTTTCGTTTGCCAGTGTTCGCCAGTCAAGTCGATTTCGTCAAGGAAAAGTTGGGACGAACACGTGGGATGGTCCAGAAGAGCCATTCTATATCGGACAGTTGTCTTCCTTTCACAACTGTGCTATCGACCACGCAACGATGTGACGTGCAGAGTGCATGAGTTTTACTGGAGCCCAAGGCAGAACTTCCGTTTTTGACACCACGGACCCCAACGGGACCAAGGGAGTATCTTCTGGACTCTCAGGCCCCACCTCTGCCATCTGTCCCTTGCCATCCTCCTGGCATTTCAACCGATCTAGAGGTCGCAAGCCGAGCCGGTGGCCCAAATCTGCCGGCGCCTGTGGCCACCACATCTGCATCACAGGTATCCTAGGAAAAAGGGCCAGGGCCGAGGTAGGTTGAAATCGTTCAAGTTGCTCCCCCCCAAAAAAAAAGTATACTTCCCTGCACAGGACCACATGGAACCCCAAAACCACTGGGTTGCACAGGAAAAGGTTCCATATTTGTTTGCAGGGGGTACGAAAGTGTTTTGAGGTGTGGGAGGAACATCTCCACCCGAACTCTTCCTCTCGCAAGTTGCAACCCGGCTGTGGGTCAATCATCTTGGGAACAAGTTCAGAATGTTCTAGTTCAGTTTGCTCTTCGACTTCTCCAAGGACTGATTCCTGATTCCTTCCGTTGGGGTCCACCTGAACAACGAGTTGTACTACTCACTCATACTTTAGTTCTGGTCACTGAAGATATCCCCAGGATAGCAAACAAAGTGTGGAAATGAGATGCCACAGAATCACCACGAATGACCCCAACTTCTTCCTTGGCCATTTCTCACCCACCTTCTCATTTCCACCTGCGCCGGCCAACCAAAACATCCGCGTCCGCACATCTTCCGCGCGCGGAACCACGCGGCTGCTGCTGCCCACCCCCGAACCCCGCGCCTCCCACATCTTCCGCGCGATTTCCATGCCGGCCTCTCGCGACTTCGTCATGGCAAAGCCCAGCCACAGGAAGGCCAACCTGATGCTCGGGGTTCTGACGACCCACATCGGGCCCCGCGTTCCGTCCGCCGGTTGGGACCGGTTGGTTGTGGTGGGCCAGGTTGGTGGAAGATCATGGACGTGTTTTCGGCGATTCAGCTTCACCCCAAAATCGGAGCTGAGATGCAAATTCAGGCTTTGAAAGCTGGGGAATGGAGCCGAAAAAGGGGGTTGGAAAAACACCAAATCCCAAACAGAACAGCTCCAGAACATTCCGCCTTGCGGACCCATGGGGACCCCCTTGCCATACATAAAAGGAATTTTTCTTGGAGGGTTCCCTTGTTCCAACTGTTGGGTTCGAAAGTCACCTGACTCCCTGACTCTGCCGATCCTCAGGGCGGACCTGGCGCCCGGAAAGTCACGACCCATCTGAGGGCTCGCCCGCGCTCCCGACACCAGCAGCCGCCATCCGCCAAGCCACATCAAGCTCACAGTCCCAAAAATGGCGAACGTGGCTCGCCAGCCGGCCTGGCGAAGTCAGAGCTGCCAGCCGAAGCCAAGAACCATGGCATTGTGTCTAAACTCGCGCCAGGGCATGAATCAAAAATGAATGTCAGTGATGTGAACTTGCACGTGATGCCATATCAAGTCAAGCGCAAGACTCAAAACCCTTGAGGGGTTGGGGCGAACTCCTCCTTTCAGGGTCATTAGAGAAGTCAAAGAGAAGAACTGAGTCTCAGCTCATGGAACTCGATCATACTCAACCAACGAGGTGTTTCACATACGCTGAGCCACCCATCTCGCGCCCAACCGCCCTTGCCTGAGAGCAAATTAAGGGCGCCAATACCGACGCCACGATCTGACCAAAACGCATGGAGAGCGCTCGTGCCGCCAGCGAACAACCTCTTTCAGAGGCCTCAGAGGTTCTTCAAATGTCTTGAGTCTTCACTTCGGCAGCCGCACCAAAAGATGCTGCCCAAAACATGGTAAAGGATTCTGTGACATCTGATGTTGTGACTCTTCTCTTCACAAGACCTGATGCCCTCACTCTTCCTCTCAAGGTCCAAGGTGCTGGAACATAGGCGGAGATGAGTTGCATCGTGGTGGGCATGAGAGGAGATTCGGCCAGGCCCAACAGGGTGAGGAGCATCCAGGTGTATCCAAATCCCAAGTCCGCCACCATCCTCGCCGCACGAGACGTCGGAGAAACGCCGCCGACGTCGTTGGTTTTTCCAGGCGGTCCCTCTGACCTGACGGGAGGGGTTGAAAAAGGTGAAAGGGTTCCGCGTTTGGCGCGGCTTTTGGGGGTCGAGGTGTGTCTGGGATTTCATGGGACCTCACGGCTCCTGGGAGCTCTGGAAAAGCACGTTTCCACGGCCACGAACCGGTGCGAGCAGTTTCCCCGGGCAGGGTTCCACGGCCACGTGGTGGCGGTCGTGGTGGATTCTCATCCTCATCTTAGCAGTGTGTATTTTAATAGCAAGGTCAAAGGTCTCCAAGCAATGGGTCTTGGCTGTTTCCCTTCTTCCGGTGGCGAACTAAGGGACGACTTCCTGTTTGAGCTACACATTCATGTCCAAGGATCGGGATGGCAATGGCCAATGCACTCCACGTGATGGCCGCACAAGCCAAGACCATCCCAGCGCCCAAGCGCGCAGAGATGGCCCCTGAGCCAGTTGTAGGTGGACAGGGGAAAAGTGGGAGCGTCCATCTCTGCCCTCTCTTCAGCATCGGAACAATCATCAGCCAGCAAGGCGCATTCTCTCAAGAGTTGGTTACTCACTCTTCGAAATGATTGCTCTGAGAAACTTGCCAGCTCTTTTTGACGAACGGGCATTGAGTGGTGAACCGCAAGTCCAGCCAGTCCCTCGCGCGTGGCTTTGGCCGGCGCTTCCCAGATGGACCCACGCATGCCTGCAAACAAGTTCCCTGCGAGGTAGCCCCAGAAGAAGGCACCCAGGAGCATTCCCTGGCAGGCTTGAAGAGAGCTACAGCGAAACCTGGGCATTCAAGAATGTTCCATAGCGTTCTGAAGAATTACAGTATATAAAACCATTTGTAAAACCCAACTTTCTCGTCACATCCCCACCTCCATCCCGATTTATGCCTATCAACATGGGAACTCACCATATGGACCCTCCGACCCCGACCAGCCGCGAAGCCACGAAGCCCACGGGAACACGTGCGCGAAGGAAGGACACCCTGTGCAAGACACACTGTGTCTCGGTCATGTCCTGCTTTGGCTCACAACGCAATTGCGCCCAACGCACTGTGCGCCTTGAACTGCATATCCCAATTGTACTCGTGAACCATCAAGACCTTGACTGCCATGAAGAAGGCATGTAAGGCAACTGAATGGTCCACATTCAATAAACACATCACATCGGAGTGCATGGCATGGCCTCTTGGTCAGACTACGAACTCTACTCCTTGGAATGACTCCTTGGAAGTGGCAGCGTGGTCACCTTGGGTGACCACGGTGACCACGCGAGCTCCTCCAGCTGCACCGGTGCATCCACGTAACCATGATGATTCCAGGGAGTGCAAAACAGGGTCTTTCCCACCTCTCCCAGTGTCTCCCAGTCACAAAAATGATATAAAAACCTTCTCGCGACTGGTCGATGTCGGTGGCCCTAGATAAATGGTTTTGATGTCGACTGGAGAGATGCCAAGATGCCATGTGTGGTAAGACGTCTCATATGTGGCACGGATGGGTCATCTAAAGGACCCAAAGGGAAACGGTTGAGTCTACACAAGGCTACCAGAACCCATCTAAGAGAACTCTGGTTCCACAAAAAGAAAGTTGCTTTCTTCTTAGATGGGTCTTATAGCAACTCTGGTCTCCTGTGGGAACCCATCTAAGACCCAGAGTTCTTCTTATAGATCAGGTCTACCATGGTCTTTCAGTCTTTCTTCATTTTTGAAGCCTGTGAGACCTGTGAGACTTGTTTTGCACCAAGTGTGCAGGGCCGCGTGCTTCGGTCAAGCCACTGATGACCGAGAAGTCAAGCTTCTTGGAAGCATTGAAAAGGTAAACATGGAACATGTTTGATCACTTCCAAAACATGGATTTGGAGCCAAAGCCGCCTAAACAATAAAACAAGACCTGCTGTAAACCCGCATCCAAAATCCGCCGTATTGGTTTTCCTCATCTCACAATGGATCGAACTGAAAACCCCGGGCGGCCGCCCAGGAATCTTGGAAACGTGTCAGTGACCTGACATACACCAGGAGGTGACCACATCATTTTGTTGGTCCGACTTAGACTTAGATTTAAAGTGAACAGAAGCCGAGCCTCAAACCCACACCATCTTAAACCTCTATTTGGGGAACTGCCCGCACGCTCCCGTGACTTCACCGCCCCACGTTGTGCGGCGCCCGTTTCACGGCGCCCCTTCGGCAAAAGCGCGGTCGAAGGTAGAGCCCGCCGGGCAACCCGCTCGAGGGCCCGAAAACGTCGGCCCGTTCGGCGGAAGAGTATCCCTTTATATATAGTAAGGTAGTAGAAGTATGTGATAGGATCGTGACACACCGGTATTAGTAAGTAAATAGCAAGTATGTTAATTTAAGTATATCGTATACATAAGGTAGGATCATGATACACCTGACCCATCCTTCCCCCTTACATCCCCTGGCTCCTGGTGGGCCCAACTGGGAGTCTCGGTCTATGACTTGCCGAGGCACTGCACAGGTCCCTGCCGGTCGCGGGCGCGTCTTTGGGAGGTCTCACTATTTTCATGCACATCCCATTTGCATTCGGTTGTTGCTGGTTTGCAAACCCTCCCAACCTCCCAGTGGATGAATGGAATTCGGTTCCAGGCCAAGGGCCCTTTCTCGAAGCCGACAGTGATGTTCTTGTTGACCGACTGGTCATAGGATTGGGGAATGTTCGCCGTGCAGTGGCCGTGGCGATGCGGTTCTGGCCCCACGAAGGACGCTTCACGCCGACGGTTCACGGTGTCGCGGCCGTTTGGCTCCGCAGTGGGCAGTCCGCAGTGCGGGGTGATGAGCCAATCAAAGCAGAAGCCCAAGAGAAGCATCGCCCCCAAGTGTCCCCTCATCTTGTTCCACCCTCGTGTTCAAACCATCATCCTGTCACGGGCTGAAGCCATCAGCGACACACTTGCGGCCCCCCAAAATGGTGGTCACATGGTCATTTCAGTTCCTTCTGCTCTGTTGACGGCCCGGGCCTAGACAAGTGCGAAGAAGGTAGTTGGAGATGCCAACTCCGGCCTGAGATCCCAGTCCCTTCGTTGTTCGTAGATCGAGAGACGGGTTTTTTTCGTAGTTCGCTTCGGTTGGTTCGGGAGACCAAGTCCCATAACAATAGAAGAACTGGGAAGGGGAAGACTCGCCACATCATCCCCTAACCAGCCACACCTGTTGAAGTACTTCACAACAACCCTTCAACCCTTCAGTCCCTCAAAAAGAGCCGCGGAACTATCCGCCGTCAGGACCAGCAGTTCCATGTCGGGGGTGCCTATTGGAGGATCGGGGTGCCCAATATACAAAAGAAAAATAATAAGAATAGAATAGACATGTTCTTTGGAACTGTAGGGATGTCCCATGTTCGTTGGTTTCTTGCCAGGTGACCATGAGGATCTGCATTCGGACCCTCGGCACCAGCAGTAGCCAGTGGCTGTAGAGGTTGGTCACCTCGATCGGCCGTGGGTGTCCCGCGCAGAAACGAAGCGCGCAGAAACCCGCGTCGAGGCGGGGACCACCGCGAGACAAGGAACCTTGCACGAAGACAAGGGTCCCCGGGTCCCAAAATGCGGCAGAAGACAGCACTACGAAGTGCTGAGGTCTCTCCTAGTAGCGTCCTTGCTCCTGGTAGCGATGCCCTTTGTTACTAGTAGCGATGCCAGGAGCTACGTTCGTCGCTTCTTGCACTACAAACTGCAAGGTCTTCTGGACATGTCCGGACCAGGCTTTACTTGGTCTGCGAGGGAAACTGCCATGCGTGTGGTCCAACATAACTCGAAGTGGTGGGTGCACTCTCTCTCTCTCTCTCTCTCGCTGTGGCATCCTGGGTGGTTCCGTGTCGGTGAACCGGCCCCCTTTGTAAGGCCTTAAGTCAGTCGACTCTCAACTCACCAACACAACTCACCAACAAACCTGCTACGTTCATCGCTTCGACGATTCTTTCACCCAGCGATCCAAGCGATCAGAGCGCCGTTCCGGTCCGATCCTCTCATATCGAAAGCGCTGCCCCCTATCGAAAGCGCAAAGGTGCGTGCGTGTGCGTGTGCGGCCCGCGGCCCGCACCTTACAAATGCCATGGCTTTTGGACAACTTCATCTCCACCAAGCCTCGGGGCTGGGAAGATTTGGAAGACGCAGGAAATTCGGCAGCGAAAGGGCGTGCACTTGGGCAACCCAGAGGTGTTTCATTTGTTTCCTCCGTATTCTATATCATCTCCAACGACCAGAAGAGTGACCAGTCATCGAACTACTGACATCATCCTTCGTGGTCAACGAAGGGAACCACCAGCCGAGGTTGACCTCGCAAAAATGGCGCAAGGATGTCCACCTGGTTGTTGAATGTTGTGGAGGGGGAGGGGGCACAGGATGGCACAGGTCACCAAGATTGCCAATTGCCCAGCGATTGGAGCAAGTCAATGTGAGCAATGGAGGGCTCTCAAATCGGTGGTGCCTTCTTTTGGAGCGTGGGACGAAGAGTCCAACCTGTCGAAGCAAAGATCACAAAGACTGACGCGATCGGAAAGAGCTGAGCGCCGCACTAGCAGCTTCAAATGACAGCATTTTTTCATCTGTCATGGCAGCTGCCCATGGGGGGGCGCCGATTTGAAATGTTTTTTGGCGGCTTCTGCACCTGTACCTGCGAGCCTAGGCTGCTGCACCCCATTATCCTTTTGGAGAACATGTTGTTGTAGAAACATGTGTTTCACTGCCGATCTCCAAAGGTCTTCTGTATCATTCTTTCTTAAGTTTGTCTCTGCCCCAGTGGGCCTGTTATGCACATGAAATGGTGTGACTTGCTGCTGGCTTCTGATAGCTTTCCCAGTTCATGAGACAGGCAAAACGCTTGGACCTGTGAAACAAGCGAGGCACATCAATGCATGTCACGGGCTCTGAAGGTTGGGTGTCATTTCATGCCGCATGCCCTGAGCACCGACACAGCCGCCCAGCCGCTGATCAAAAACCACTGTTACCAGGGTCGCTCTTGTCCAACCGAACCCAACAATCGCAAACCTTCGCCACCTCTCCACCACGTGGACCTGTTTCTTGGCGGAGCTTGTTCTTGCCGGAAGCCTCCACGACTGTCCCCTTCAACACCCATGTGACGGCACCGTGACTTCTGTGGCACCGTGACGCATAGGAAGCTCACCATTCCGCCCCTCGCTGCGAAGCTCACCTGTGGTCCCACTTTCGAGTTCGTCTGAAACTGCTCGATGAGGTTCATGTCCTGCATCACGCGCTGAGCTCCCTGAGCTCAGCATGGAGGGGTGTCGTTTCCAAAAAAAGCGCGCGAATCGCGATTGGGGGAGAAGCATGGAGAAGCTAGACTACCAGGGCCCACCATTTGAGGCGTCTATTTATAGCCCGTATCCCATGTGGGTCCTGGTAGGGGGTCCTCCAAACTTCTGACCCCTGCAAGACTCTTCAATTGCCGAGCTGGACTACATCCTCAGCCCACCTCCCACTCTGGTCAGCGAAAAAGACGGGTGAGTTTGAAGGTAGTTTTGGTCAAAGCCTGAAAACTGCAAATTGTAAACCAGGACCCGGCGACAAACAGGTCACCAATGGTTCGACCTGAGACAGGGTCCAACAACCCTCAACTAACAGCCTGGCCAGGAGGGTGCTGCAAGCTGCCTCCAGGTCTGCTCAAAGTTTCTGCTGTCTTCACTATCAAAACTCAAATAGAGGGGAAGGCTGTCAGCACATCCGTACAAAGAAGGGTATTGCTGCTCCTCAGTACCAGTTTGGGTGTGTGCAGCTGGCATATGAACTTGGAGTTACAGTCCGCGAGAACAGGTTCGTAGTTGGCACACTCCATGGTTGAATAAGGTGGAGATATCTTTAGCGATCCAGGAGCACCAAAAACAATTCTGTGCACCTGGACTCTGTTTTCGTATCTCCAGATTCAACTCCTGCATGCCAACCATGTCGCCACAGTATGACTCCCTCATATGCTGGATAGCCCATCTCAGAGTTCTGATGACAAAGCCTGGTTCTTTTCACAGATTAGTCCATTACTCTCCCCAAGAAAAGAAAGCATAATAAACAGCAGCAAGTGGCTGTTTAGTGCGCCACCAGCAACGAGAAAGCACCGCTTCAACCGAACCCCCTGGGATGAGAAAATCTCACCGAACCGCGGTGAACTCGGAGCCGAAGCATGGAATTTCCCAGCCCTTCCAGAGAGAATTCTGGTGCCTTGAACTTCTCCGAGAGATCTTCCCACTCTGCCTCCCCGGAAAAACACGCACGGCGCGAGTTTCCTCACGCGCCGACGGCACGAAGGGGAAGCGACATCGGAAGCAGCCAAGCTGGGGCGAAACGGGAGAAACGGTCGGGATCTGGAAAAGACTTACACCAAGTTTCCAGGTCGATTAGGCCAGCGTTTCATTTTGATCAGTGATTTCGGGTGCTTCTCTCTCCTCTTGGCCGACCAAGAGTTGTCTTCTTCCGCTCCTCCCCCTCAACCCTCCCTCTCCCCATCCACATCCGCCACGCCGCCATCCACATCCACCAGGTCGCCTGGGTCATCACGGTCCCAGAGAAGTTCAACTTCACATCCTGTCGGGGGCCCCGATGACGGAAACCGGGGGAGACGGCGGAAATTCGATCAAAAGATGGCCATTTTCATCGGGTGAAATGGAAGAAAAGAAGTATGGAACAAGCTGATTGCTTCCCGTGATCTGAGACATGCTGGCCGCCCAACCTGGAAAATTCCGCTACCGAAGCCTGACTCGCACATGAAACGCTATGAAGTCCAGTTCGACGATCTTTGACTGAAGTAAGGGAAATGCCTAAAAGAATGATCACCCAAAGACCATAATATTTTTTTTATAGTCTTTGACTCCCAGGCGATGCACTTTTGGGCCACTCTTGGCAACTGCGGACTTTGCGGATGGAAAGTAACTCAAACCACCGCGACAAGGTGCCTTCCCGCCGAACGAAAGAACATGTTCGCGTACGGTGCGAGCCGTCCAATCCGGTGCTGGGTGCAGCTCACGGTAGGTTGAAACTGCAGACTGACTGATCCTGTTCAGTGTGCGAAAACCATGAGCAGAAACAAATCATTAATCATGTCATCACAATTCTTCGACACATGAGACTTTATGCCCAAAGCACACTTCAACCAACGCTTAAAACATATGCTGTGCCCGTCCTGAGAAAACCCGTCCACAAAAAAACGGCCTCCAATCTCCCTGACGGATTGGCACCTGGCCAGTGTGAGGAATCGCGTTGAAAATTGAGATGCAGCAGAATCAGTCACTGGTCTTCCTACGGCTCGTTCGCTCTCTTCCACGAAGCACCCATACCAAGCGTACAGACCATACCAGATGCCAGGCATGGCTCACCACCGTCAGGAGCATATACCGACCATCCGAGATCACACCACGCGGCGACCGCCCTGGTAAGCCCGACAACACCACGCGTCCGACACCACACCAGTCGCCCAAACACCTCGACAGACACGAAAGCGAGAGGATGTTCCGACAGGAACTCAGCCTTGAGACGGACCAAGCAACTCACCAAGCACACACAGAAGCACCTTAAGCACGGCAAGTGGACGGCCGCAAACACGAAGCTTCACCGCGCCACCCCGATCCGACGAGACCCTCGCTGATCCGACCCATCCACCGACCTGAAATCGTCTCCGTGGGTCGATGCGGGACGTCGACCGTCGATCGGCGGATCCGACCGTCGACCGGTCGATCCTCAGGACCCGGATCCGGTCGACGGAGCCGCTCGAAGCGTCTCGCCGCGCCTGCGCTCGGCGGCGCGGAAGGAGCAGCTTTGACCTTAGGAGCAAGGCACTGCGGGGCAGACTGAGCAGCTTCTTGTGGACAAAAGACCAGTGAAGCAGTGAAGCAGTGTTGGATGTTTGCAAACACCTGCGCAATGAAGTTGGAAGATGCAGACAAATCTGACAACCAAATATACGAAGACCCGGACGAAGAAAGAGATCGATCCTGAGCTTCCTGCCCCTGCGGCCTCGTGCGATCGGACGTGTTGGGGCGGTGACTTGACCGTGCCGTGCCGATGCGCCCGACGGATCGACCATGACCAGTCCGCCCCGTACATCGGCGGGGCGTCGAGTTCAAGAGCGGGGATGGTCAGAGGTTCCTGTAGACCCACTAGAACACCTCCTCCCTCATGGAGCTAGTCTAGACTGCAACAGACTTGGGCCATCTTTGTGCTTCTAAAAACATTCACACTGCTTGGACCAACCAAAACTCCTCAGTCCCACCCACCCGCCGACCCTCTGCCTCCAACTTGGCAATGTCCAACTTGGCCTTCGCCGCTTTCACCGCCGCCCTCGCCTGTGCCACCGGGTCTGTGGCAGCTTCCGCCAGCTCGGTGGCCCGCTGCGCGGCAGCCTGCAGCGCAGCGAGGTCCTGGGCAGCGGCGGCAGCCTCAGCTGCCTGGGCGGCCGCCTCGGCCTCTTCCGCTTCCCGCGCCGCGCGGATGGCCGCCTCAGAAAAGGTGTGGTGTGGAGCGGAGGTCAAAAATGGACTTAATTAGATGATGAAAGAAGAAGCAATGAAGCAGCACTCGGAGTGGCTACCGCTTCACTTGCAAAATTCAGCGAAATTCTATGGAGCACTGGATTGGGGAAAGAAATTCTATATACAAATGTGGTTGTTTCTTCTGTTCGTGATTGAACTGAAAGGTGTCACTCATGCTGACCAAGCCCATCCCGCAGTCTGTCCTCGTCGCGCTCAGCCTCTTCCCTTAAGGCCTGGAGACCAGCCATTTGCGTGTGAATGGTTGAAATGCAGGGAGGTTTTGATGGCATCTGATAGCCAAACGTTAGTCACTGTTAGTCCATATGCCAAGGTTTTTAGTATGTTTTTTCCATTTACCAAGTAGTCTTTGGGGATCGGTATCCATGCGCATGTCAAAACTCTCGGAGTTGACCACATCAATTCTGCGGTCGACTGATACATAGATGAGTTATCTGAATATTCACCAGCATGGTTTCTTGACTGTATATTCTGGCTCGTGTCCCTTTTTGGGGGGAATGAGTTGAAGAACAATCTGCAAACAGCTGTTGAGTCATTGCGGGTGCCCTTATGTTTAGGGCAGCTTTCCATGTCTGGCCTTGGCTTGTGCAAGAAGTGCTTCTACCTGTCCAAGCGGGAGGGGACGCGTCAAGACGCCCTGGCTTCGGCCTGGCTTCCCTTCAAGCATCCCCGTTGTACTCGATCTTTTGCCGCGTCACAAAGGAACAAACATCCCAGAACATTGGGTGCATATTTGACCACCAAGACTGAACAGAATAGACACTACCTGGGAGGTCAACCTACCCGGTAGTTTGAGGCTCTGGGTTTTGACCCACAGCCATAATTTAGACCTTTCAAACCCTGCATGGGGCCCGCCGCTTTCGGAAGAAGTTATGTCAGAAAGCCTCCCACTGCCAGCACCTCCTGATCCGCTGCTCGTAGCAGCGTGCGCTGTGCGGCCAGCGACTCGTGAAACGGGGCACGCCCCACGAAGGGCACGCCCTGCGGCCGCAGGCGGGCGCTCACTTCCATGCATACCGGACGAGAAAGGAAAGCTGAGCTTGGTGGGGCTGTGAATCCTTGGTATAGGAAGAGTCCACAAAATGCATATCTGCCTCACGCATAGCAGGTG